GAGCGGGACCACCAAGCAGCTGCAGCACACCAAGCATCTGCAGCGCCCAGCGCAGCAGCGGCAGCAGCAGCAGCAGCAGCACCAGCAGCAGCAGCAGACCACCCAGCGGCAGCAGCAGCAGCAGCACCAGCAGCAGCAGCAGACCACCCAGCGGCAGCAGCAGCAGCAGCAGCAGACGACCCGGTGCCTGCAGAGCACCCAGCGCAGCAGCGCCCAGCGCAGCAGCGGCAGCAGCAGCACCAGCAGCAGCAGCACCAGCAGCAGACCACCGGAAGCCCGGCTAGCTTTCGTTCACCCCCTCTGGCCTCAAGTTATCTTAAGTTTGTCTGGCACTCATGTAATGACTTTCTCGAGTGGATTCATGGTAGAACCTTGTAACAGGAAAGTTTTGGGCATTTGGTGCCTTGCGCTTCCACACTTGGCAGATTCCAAAGCTTTTTCCCTTGCACGATCAAATCGACTTTGCCAGGGCAATCAAAACTACTGCATGAGCGTGAGGGAAGGCAGAATAGGCGCGGGAATGCCTTGGCTTGGGGACAGATGCTTGTAATCCAGGTGCAAAACGCTTGCAGTCTCAACTGCCTCTGAGCCTTGTACTTTCGACATACATCTCCGAGAATAAATATATCGAATTTGGCATTCAGAATGCTGGCCCGCCACCCGCTTGACCCTGATGTGACTTGAAGAGTGTCAGATCGGTTTCAGCATTTTCTTCACAGGTGATGGCTCTGACATCATCCTTTGGGCCCTGCTCCTAGCGCTCCAAGCCTCCAAGCGGTACAAGCTTGGCATCCCATTCAGAGCGGTGGATGAGTCGCGCGTCCGCCCAGGCCTGCGATGAGCTCTATGATTTGGACGATGAGCTGTGAGAGACTGTGACCTGCGGATTTGCCACGGGTCATCCGTGCGGTCGGCGTCAGCGATAAGAATGTCTGACCGCCATACGACTCACTCTGACCCTTTCCCCGAAAAAATGGGGAGAACTCCTCAGCGTCACAAATCAAAGCGCAAATGGACACTCGAGTCGACACAGAAAAAGTGTGACATCGATGGCGAGAGCCGAGCGCTCCCAGCGGTGGAGTGACAGTGCAGAACGAGAAAAAGTGGTGCGTCGCAGTAATGCCATCCGTGCGGAAACGGAAGGCTTTTCTTGCCATATATTTTCATGCATATGTAATCATATGTATAGACAGGATATAAACATTGCCTATTCTGTTTACCCTTTGATTTTGGAGGCCCTGCCAGTCGACAGTTTGCCACACCAAGGCTGACATCTGTGTGTTCACCTGCCTTTTGTGTGCTTCTTTTAATCGTAGACTCTAGATACGAGATCCTGGAGTCAAAACCGATGCCTTTAGCAAACATGTGATCTTCTGCAGGCGTACCAAGGGAGTTGCCGATGGTGATTCCACCCTTCGCACAAATGAAAAGGAGAAAGATACGCGCAGCCCAGCCTCACCGGAAGAGCCAGAGGCGGTGGCCAAAATGAAGGAAGTCAATGGAAGGAGTATGCGTGACTCACGTCCACGCACCTTGTTGGAGCAGCTTCACAACAAGCAGAGCCATGGACAATTCTGTCAACCCAGCAAGGCAGAGCCGCGGCGGGGGAAATCCACGGACAGGACGGATAGGATGAAGGAACATCCGAGGCATCTTCCAACTCCCAATCGGCAAAGCAGCGAACCCCGCAGAGAAGGACCCAAGGAGGGGCTGGAAATACATGCCACATCATGGCATGAGTCAGCAGCCTAAGTTGAGTTGAAAGGGTTGAACTGTTTGGCGGTTTGACCTTATCCTGGTGGACTTGCCCGAAACACCCGTAATCCGTCCAGGAGCGGATCGCCCGGCAGACGCGAGGAAAGGTCCAGACCGAAGAGCCATTGGCACAGTTGCGCTCGGAGTCTCAGTTAACATGACCCCACAGCACCCGGCGCCTGGCCTGGCAGATGGCCACTAAGCTGTTTGGGTGACATGGGCCGCTGGGCCGCTGGGCTTTCCAGTTCTGTTTGTGCATTTCACCTACCTGCATATGCTCATTTTCAACCAGTCTTTTGGGGATGGCCAAAAAGATCCAAAAAGGACAGAATCAAACGGTGCAGTGGAGGCGTTCCCCTTTCACCTGTGACAAGTCGGGTCAAGTTCTTGAAGTTGGCTCTTAGGTCTCAAGCTGCAAGATCTCCAAAGCTTTTCGGCAGCTGCCTGATCAAATTCATGGCTTTTGCCATGGGGAATTTGAGCCGAACTCCGAACTCCGTCATTGAGACCAGTTGCATTTTCTCTTATTTTGAGTTTGACTTTGGGGCAAAGACCCGAAGGTCAAAAAGTGTTCTGCGGTAGATTGAGCCAACCAAACACAAGAGTTTGGAAAAGCTGCATGACATGTGATGTGGCCACGGTTGGAGAGCTGTTTTTTGTTCGCTGTTTCGTTCTTGTGGTATGTGCATCCATTACTGCCGCGCAGCCATAATGTGATTGGAGATGATGCTTGAGTGAGACTATTTACATACCACAAGACCAACGTGTGGTTGCATCAATTATATTCAAACAGATTATAAATATCACTTACGATTCATGACAGCTGCAACAAAGGCTCGCTTCTTGGCATCTCGGCCAAACCACTCCCCTGGCAACCAGCAGCTTGGGAGCACACCTGCTTGACGTTGTTTTGATTCTTATCCGATCAGTAAACGTAGATGGATGAACAGCTTCTATTTGACTTTTTGGCTGAAGAAGTTTATGGCCATATCTTCCAAAAGCCCCAAACCCGTAACTTACATGCACTCGACTTTCTTTATAAACAGGACGTCTTTACGCTGCACACCATGCTTCACGCCGACTCACCAGAGGAAACCATAAGTATAGGAGCAAGGACGCTACTAGGGGCGCTCCTGGCATCGCTACTAGGAACAAGGGCATCGCTACTAGTAGCAAGGACGCTACTAGGGTGGAGGGCAGAGGAAACCATAAGCCACCTGAGTTGAGATCGCTGCCGAAGCCATGGAGCTCTGCTTTGAGGCCGTTGAGCTGTTGGGCCTTGATGAGGCCGGCCCAGCGGCCCTGTCACCCGTTCTGGGGAGTCACAGGATGTCATAGGGAACCAACTCATTTCTGCCCCATGCATCCCGTGCTGCACCCACAACCCATGCCCGGAGACGCGCTTGATTGGCACTCCTAAGGACATCCATGATGCAAGAAATGCTACGACAGCTTACACATCATTTGCATCATCAGTAGCTACATCTAAACAAGCACGTTCAACCAGATCGTGTTGAGTTCATTGCAGATGTTGAAAAATACAGGATTCGAACACCACAAAAGTTCTGGGTGGTTCTACCAATCTATTCTGCATTGGATCCTGCGGGAGAGCGAATTCAGCCCTCCAATCAACTCGCTCTCTTGTAGTAGATCCACTGCAGGAGAGGTGCTTGGTATGAATCGATGTAGTTCTTCAGCCCTTCTTCGGATCACACGGAGCGATCACGTTGCAGTGATTGATCTTGTGACCTCACATGATGGTGATCATGACTTCACTCAAGAGATGGTGATCTATGTTGATTTGATTTGAGATCTTTTGCACGACTATCGACTCATTTTGCAAGACCATTGGCCATTTTAGACCTCCAAGCAGCCAGGCTGCGTGTCGCAGCGTCCTTGAAGACTTGGCCAAGAACCTCAGACCAGTGCCTCCACTGGAGTTCAAATCCTTCTCGGATTGCAGCTATTTGACATGCAAGGCGAGAGGACTAGTGAGAGTGGCATGGGGAGAGTAAAAAGGAAAGGAGACTTCAACAATGCATTGATTTGTGCAATTCCACTGTTTTTGTCAAGGTGAATCCATCGAACATCATTGATGCAAGACCCTCTTTCATTCAGCGATTCATTTCTATTCCATTTTGTGTCGACGCAGGTCTTTTGTCTTTTCTTTTAAAGTCCTTGTTGAAAACGAGAACAATGACCTACTAGCAATGGCCTCCAACCTGATAGCAATGGCCTTAAGCATTCAAGAAAAAAACATGAAAAAAGCGCTTCTTCGCAAGGCCCTTGGCCTTCAGATTCGACTCACCACCGGCAAAGCAGACGTGGTGTTTCTCTACAACGAGAGTGTCGAGGGCTTCAGCCGATTCGAAGGGACCTTGCCAGAGGTGCGGAACCGATAAATCAGCGATGATGATTTTTCATCGGGCCTATCAACAGTTTCACTCGGAGGGTAGCAGGAGAATTTGGTGGTCATTTGGTATGCTAGCTGCTAGAGTTGCGTTTCCAAAATCAATTAAGCCTGAGCCGCTTTCCAGCGTCCCAGCCCAGTAGCTTCTTAACCTCCTAGTAGCTAGCGCACTAGCCTCTCCTCACAACCCCCATCCCTCAAACAATGGTTTCAATGTGATGTTTCTTTCAATTGACAACTTCCTGTCCAAAGAACTATTACACATGAAAGCTGTTCTTTATATATGTTTTCGCTCTGCCCGGTTTGTTCGTTCAATTCAAATCCGTTCAGTCTTCGCCGGGCGAACAAGGGACTTCAATGGTCTCACCACAGCAAAGACGTGATTTTGATGTTGGGCGAACCGTCTGACAAATATGGCGGTGGACGATTCCGCGCTGTGGGAATTAGCTACGAGACGTTGGGCGTGGACATACAGTTCAAGGAGAGAGGCGTTCTTTTTTGCTGGATGGCAAAGTGTGGGACAGGCTCCCAATTACCGTTTTGGGCTTAGAAACAAGCAGCCAGCTGCATGAGAGAACATGAGAGAACCCTGGAAGGAGAGCAGTTGGGAGGACCAGAAGAATCCCATTGCATTCATTTCGGTTTTCCATCGCCTGGACCCCTCACATGGCCTGTGCGAGTTTCTTGGCAACTTTGGCAATAGTGTTTTGTGAGTGGCCCCAAGTCCCAAAAAAAGGAGACACCTTGGGCAAAGAGATGCTTGAGATGCTTACGTCTTCTTTGTGATTTTTCACATTCACGTGTTGCTTGCCTGGAAGGCTATGCGGGAAACGCGCATCATTCAGATGCGGCCTGTGTAAGACAAAGCGCTATTGCAGCTCCGATTGCCAAAAAAGAGACTGGCGGAAGCACCAGCTTGTTCCTTGGCTCGGAGCTGGATGGTCTACAACAAGACACCCATGCTCATGGTTCCAACATGATTTGGAGTTTCAACTCGCTGCACCTATGCTGACATCGTATGACTCACCTGCTAAAAGCGCGACCAAGGAGTGCTCGGGGTACCAGGCATCGCTGAAGTGCGACGACTTGTTGCCACGCTGCCAGCAAGCCTCACAGAAGCTGACGGCAGGTTTGGTGACTGTGACTTGGTGCCAAGCTGGGAAGGATGTTGATCAGAATATGCATCCAAGGAAACTACAGACCATGTTTCTTGGAAAAACATGTCGCAGTGTCCAACTAGTAGTAACAAAGAAGCTACTAGTAACAAGTGCCACGCTAGTAGTAACAGGTGCCTTACTAGTAGTAACAAAGAAGCTAATAGAAACAAGTGCCACGCTAGTAGTAACAGGTGCCTTACTAGTAGTAACAAAGAAGCAAATAGAAACAAGTGCCACGTTAGTAGTAACAGGTGCCTTACTAGTAGTAACAAAGAAGCTAATAGAAACAAGTGCCACGTT